ATCATTGCGGAAAACAATTTTTTCCTCAGTATTCTCCTGCTCCTGTTTATTGATGATTTCAAGCTGCTTTTATTGATTTCGGTTTCCGCAGAATCATTGTGATCTGATACCAGTATCTTGAGAAAATGTAATGAATGTGTCCTCCTGTTTCTATGTCTAACTTTCTTACTCATCGAATCTAAAAATATCAGTCTTCCTAACCCTAATGATTTAGGCTTAGATGTGCTAGTCTGTACTTCAGCGTCAAAAGCATATCTCGCTTTTCCCAACATCACAATTTATTTCTGCATTGAGCTCAGCTTTTTCTTTAATTTGCTCTAGTTTCGCGAGTCTGGCCTCATTCTATTCCATAGTCTTAGCATTTTCGGCTTTACATTTTCGACCGTTGTTTCAATAAATCAAGTTCAGACTACATATTCGCCAATAATTTTCATAGGACGGTATTTATTTAAAATGCATTTTCATCCATGTTTGACTTTAGTTTAGGTCTTACTTTTTTTTTATTCACAAAACATCTTCATATTCCACGAAAAATGATCTTGATATATTGTATAGGTATAGCTTTTCGGCTTAATTCTTTATTGATGTAGTAAATAAATATATATAAGTAAAAATAGGTATGAACCGACTTCATATTCTGGATAGAAAAAAATGGTCATCAGTAATAAATATTAGACAAGCAATTAAATAACCGTCGAAAATTTATCTCGTGTTTTGCAATAAGCTTAATTTTTAATTAAGAATGCTAGCATACATTTTTATTTTTTCCGGTGAAATATTGTGTATGATAAAAAACATGCATTTGTAAGATGTGTAGATTGAGAAAAAAGAGGCCAGCTAAAAAAAGATTGGGATGAAAATCTTACAATATTTCCGAAAATAACAATCAATTAACTAATAAGTCGATCAATGCTGTTGGTACTGATCGTCTTCCATCAAAGTCTAGACCACCAGTCTGTTAACCATTCTTTCCGGCCATCTTTCGGTTATAATTGACTGATTTTTTGGTAAATCACTGGCAAGCTCTATCCAGTATTCTTTAGGAAGTACAGCCTTGCAAAATGTGACATATGTAGAAATAAAACGAACAGCATATATTGTCAGGTCCATAATTTCTGAACGTACATTTTACATCTCCGCAGGCAAGTATTTCTGCAAAATCATCTCTTAGGTGGTTATCCTATTAAATAGATTGTATGCGTCAACAAAAGTATGAATTGTCAAATAATAAAAAAAAAACCATACAGACCTCTTCAACTACAAGAACTTTTTTTTTCGCATATTAACTACAAATTCAAGGTTTGCTGTGAGATAAGGCTCGTCTGCAATTGATAGTCAGCATGGTGGAAAGTTGCTGAATTTTTTTGATGAGGTGCAACACAACAAAAGGATGACTTTTCAGAATGTTCGCCTAATCTTAGAAGGGCCAAATATTAAAGGAAACAATGCGAAGTAGATCGTCTACTAATGATTAAGTTTCAGTTTCGGGCGTTCCTAACGAATCAAATGGTTTCACCACAATGTCATGCAGTTTATCAATGAAAGTTTTGACCTTGTTATCCACCTTTAGCGACTCTACGTCGAAATTTGGTAATCTTAATGTATAATCGTTGATTTCGGGGACAACGTATTTTACGCAGTTTTCCGGCAAACTAATGACTACGATATCTTGAATTATTAGCATAGAAGCTTGCTAAGAGAAATGCTGACATAACCTACCTTTATGTGCGGGAAATATATTGCATTGTTTTAGAGCTGGTCGGAAGCTCACTTTTAGTAATTTCAAATCTTCTGGCGTGAAATTAGATGCTACATAGTTAAGTTCTTATTCGCTCCCCTGTATTTTTAGTTTTTCATCGAGAAATATCAAAGTCGAGATATAAGACATGTGAAAAAAGAGGAAAAAAATACTGCTTGTCGGAGAGAAAGTGTAGCAAACGAAGACATTTTGTGATAAAAAAATTATAAATTGTCCGAAATGTCGATCTATATATTAGTATTTATTTAACTTGCTATTATCTTACTATAATATATTACCTAAACGCAGTTTTTTTACCCAAGCGAAAAATCAATCTTTTTTTATACGATCAGAAAAAATACAAGTTCATAAAATCTAAAATATGATGAAAAATACAGCTTAAAGTTCACAACAATATTTGCATAGCGAGTTTGGTAAGAGGTTTATGAAATTATAAAAGACGGTGCGCTGGTATTTTAGCATGAACTTTCTTATCATCATCTTATAAGCAATAATCCTAATTTCAAATTCTATATAATAAATAGATTATTAATTATCACAGTGTCACATTTAATGATACCAATTAAACTTTATATGTGCACAATACAATGATCAATTTTGGATGATAAAATAATAGGATAGGTATTCCAGTAAATCTAACGAATATGTCTTGAAAATTTTTTCTTTTTTTCCCTAATACTGTAAGTGGATGGATAAAAAGAAGTTTCAAAAAAAAAAACCAAATCATAATGTTTCTGTTTATTAATATATTCTTTAATTAAATAAAAAAAATGGAGACTTTTGTTATTTGCCACAACTTTTTATTTAAATTTCGTCTTTGGACACTTATTTTCGATCTCACGAGATAAGCTTGAAAAGCTTGAAAAGGTAGGTTCAGTCAAACTTCTGTTTACTGTAAGATAAAATCTTTGAATTTTTTTTTAATAATAATGGAAATACTTTTACAATGATTAAATAAATTTATTTTTACCAACGAATAAAAAATTATCTACAAGGTTATGAAAAAAAACTCCAAACCTGGCTCTTCAAATTATTGTAGTTATTTATTACCGATCAAAGTTGTTATTAAATGGATATATCATGACCTTTTTACTGATTTTAATCGTGAAACGTCTCAACAAAGTATAGATTCAAATAAATTAGATAGTTTTAGAAGAAAAAGGCTATTATTTAGACAGTTAAAAAATAACAATTAAAATTTTATTAATGCGTAGATGTTTGTTTATTATTATTTTTTTTTTTACAAATGATTAAGAATTTTTTATTTCAAATTAAAAGCGAATTTACCTTCAAAAAGTTTAAAAAATAATAACAATTATAAAGAGAAATGGCATGAAGAAATACCACTACAAAAGCCGCCCTTTGTTAACCACTAAAACCCTGACGAGTTTTGTCGATTTCATTATAAAGGACGGCACCTGTATTCGTCAAACGATACTTTTTAAATAACATGTCCCGTGTTTGCGAGGATATACATGACAGTGCATTGAATTTTTTTTTTTTTTTTCGAAAAAAAAGAAACGCCTTCTATCCATAAAAAAAAATTTTTTTAAATCCCCAAATTTCATAGTTCAACGATAAGTGGTTTACAAGAAACTATGCTAGTGAGTATATTATTGTTAATTTGAACATTAATATTGTATTACAATACATTATCAGGACGAAAACGGGATGTGAAAGATGTATTAGGTATGGAAAGAAGGAAAGTATGGAAAACTAGATATGGCAACCGGCATGTAAGGTAAAAAAAAATAGTCGGAAAACGATTAGAAGAGTGGTCTCCCTCGTACCTCGTATTTGTCGTATTTGTCGTAAAAGGTTTTATTATTGGTCAAATTAAATTTATTTTTGGTAAGTTCATGTGTAACCAGATCTTTGCATCAAATAAGGAATCTGTAGATGGGAGGGTAAAAAAATTGGAATTCCTGTTATTGTTTCAAGACACGGAGGTGAAACAAATTTTTTTTTTTCATTTATTTATTAAAGATCGTCATTCTTGAAATGGAATCATCATGTGATAACGATAACGATTTTTAGATCCTTGCGCGAATGATTTTCAATTATGCTAATATAGCTTGGTGAACCTTGGCGCCAATGTCCATTAAACTGAACTTTCCACACATGCTTGAACAACGTTAGCCGCTTTTAAATAAACCAAAAGAGTCGAGTATTTGTTTCATAAATGGTTTTATAAATCTAGCATGCAATGATAAATGAGATTCTGAAAAGAATTTTCGATCATACACTTATTTGTATTATTAAATAATTTTCATGAACAGGGTGAAACATTAAAATAAATAACAAAAAAAAAAATTAAAAAATAAAAATAAAAAAAAATTTCAAATTAATATAATAAATGATTTTCCCTTTCATTCATATTTGCGAATAAATTCAAAGAGTTAATATTTTTTTAAATTGTCCCAATCATTTTTCATCAAAGATCATCATCCTGAGTCGATCGTCTTACCAAATCTTAATGTCGGAAATTTGTTTTACCTTTAAGATTTTATTTTCTTTATTTACAATATTTACAATGCAGATTTCGGCATATTTTCCCTGAAAAATACACGATTGTTCATTTATCAATTATCACAATCACCATCCGAATTAAGGTATGAAGTAGGGCTGTGAAAAAAAAAAGAGGTTTTGCATTACCAAGAAGCCGTAAAGTAAAAACAAAAAAAAATATTCTATTCTTATTAATACAAAGAAACTGCAAGTGAAATAAGCGAAGAATGTGTGAAGTTTAGAATTAGAAAAGAAACAGCCACACAACAAATAAGGTCGTCATAGTTTATGTGACATTAAAAAAATCCGATCCTTTTTCTTAGAGGTTCGTGAAAGTATTAAAGTATTACAAGAACATGACGTACATGATACACTCGACGAAAAATTTATATAAATATGCTAGAATTTTGCGTTTTTTTTCCTCATCCCCTCTGAAAAAGAAATTCAAATAAAGAAATTGACGGGCATCACCTCATTTTATTTCCCCTTTAATATTATTTTTCTCCTCGCCTCACCTCCCTTGATAAACTCATTTTATCCCTTTCTCAGAATAGTCGCTGGCCTTCTATTCTTTGATCCGAAATATATACATACATAGATATATCATATATATATCTCTCATACACAATATACATAATCCATTTTATAGAAATTATTTATAAATAATTTATTTTTCTTATTACTTCGCTTTTATTTATCGAAACCCTCACGTTAATAAAAAAAAAAAAACAAAATGAAAGTTACATCCTTAATCAGCTTTATTTTACTAGCCTCTCTTTCCAACTTCAATTTGGTTTCGGCCGCTGAAGAAAAAATAAAATTCGGCTATACAGGATCGATAGGTCCAGATGTTTGGCATTTACTCTCCGAAGAATCCAAAGTTTGTCAAACAGGGAAAATGCAATCTCCAATTGATATCATTTCACAAGATTTAAAAACTTTGGCAAAACCACCACAACCAGAATTCAAAAATGCTAAAGATGTTGTATCATTTAATAATGGTAATACGGTTGAAGTCTTCTCAGGAAAAGAAGGAACTCCTTTACCCGCCACTATCAAAGTTGACGGGGAAACCTACGATTTACAACAATTTCATTTTCATACTCCTTCAGAACATAGAATAAATGGTAAACATTTTGATATTGAACAACACTTGGTATTTACAAGTAAAGATGAGAAAGTTAGCGTTGTGGCAGTATTTTATGATGTTGGTAAAGAAGAATCAAAATTCATGGCCCCTATCGTTAAGGATTTACCTAAAAACATTGACGATGAAAAGAAAATCAATGAGATTGATCTATCCGGTTTGTTAACCGACATTCAAAATATTACTGCTGCTTTCACTTATTCCGGTAGTTTAACTACTCCTCCTTGTACTGAAGGTGTCACTTGGTATGTTAATAAAGATGCTCAAGTGGTTTCTCTTGATCAATTCTTGGGATTAAGAGATGTTACAGGATTCAATTCTCGCTTCACTCAATTAAGAGCAGAGGATCAAATTAAATTAGAGAATGATATTAATCATCAAAAACGTGAAAACAAGAGATCTCTTTATAAATTTGATCGATTCCTCAAAAATAAATTTTGAAACTTTGACGATTCCTTTATAAATATATATATTTGTACTTTTAGATTTAGTTTTTTTGTTTGCGGGCGGATTAAATTTGGTCATATAAATAAATTAAATTAAGTTAAAACAAAAAAACTTTTTTGAATTGATGAAAATTAATCGTTGTTTTATTTCTTTTTTTTAAAAATTAAAAATTAAATTACGACATGAAACGTCACGGAAACAGGAAAAAAATATCTCGTGCTACTGAAATAGATAACAATTGGATCCCCTTTCACCCACATCTCTTAAAAACTAATGAATATGAAACATTTTCTAAAGAGAGAAATATCTCCGCGTACCTTCATTGCTGTTAAGGATACTCTTCATTAAAAGGAATTTTTCATTGTAAATCTTTTGCGCAAAAGCGGAACAATTTTTTATCAACTATAAAGGCATGTGCTGACATGTATTACAGATTTACCCATGTCGATCAACCTTACAATGGGGTTTGTTAATTGTTTCAGATGAAGTTTAAACGTCTTTCTTCAAATTATTAACTAATATATTTAATACATTGATAAATTAAGTTTACAGAGGGATAACATTAACAAAATAAATAATTGATTATCATTAACCATTTTTAAGAAATAAGAGATAGAAAGGTTAACCAAGGACCAAAGATAGCGATCAAAACGTCAAATGTCACGTTTTATTTGTCTGCAGCTCACGTATACAGATATAGTAATGAATGTTCAATAGTTAAACCGGATGAAAAGAAATTTATTTTATTTTTAAAATTCTTGAATCCAAAAATGACAAGCGAAGATTCTACAACTGTTATAAGTCCTTTCGATTTATTACCAGACGAGATTTGTTTAAGAATATTTACAGAATTATCTGTACCTACTATTTGTCTTTGTCAAACGGTAAATTTAAAATTTTTTTTTTTTTTTTTTCACGGTTATTATAAACTAAATGGTCTGTTTATTTTGGTTTAGGTATCCAAAAGATGGTATTACATTTCTCAAGATGAATCATTATGGCAACATCATTGTTCATTATTAATTGGACCGGGACCTTTGCCACCTAGAACAAGTTCAACTTTAGATAGCTGGAAAAAATTTTATAGGCTTCAATTGAATTGGAATAGTGGAACGGCAACAAAAACATTTAATTTTAAAGCTCATGATTCTAAAGTCATTTCATTAAAATTACGAGGAAATATTTTAATTACGGGATCAAGTGAAAAGTGTCTTGGTGTATGGAATATTAAAACTGGAAAACAGGAAAAAGAAATTCATGTTGGTGCTGACATTATTTGCGTTGATTTCATTGAACATAAAGATGTTATTGCTTGTGGATCTTATTATGGGTATGTCATTCATGGCTTACAAGTTAAGATTTTTTTTTAAAAAATTATTAACAATTTTTCTTTCTTAGTGATTTCGGATGTAAGTTGTTTTCTCTTTCAACGGGAAAATCTCTCGGGGAATTTAGAGAGGATCATTGGATAGGAACTCAATGCATGGATATTAACGATGAATATATTATATTAGGAACTTATAACGGAATGATACATGTACTATCTTGGGAAGATGGTAGAAAGATAGCATTATTTCATATTCATAATAATCGGGTGAGTTTTATGTCCAAAATTCATCAAAATAATAATTATTCATTATTTGACAAAATATCAATATTCATTTTTTTTTTCTTCTTCGAAATAGGTTGCAGGTGTTCGCCTTCTTGGTAAAAATACTGCCATGTCCGTTTCATCAAATGGAGCTATTGATATTTTCAGCATTTCAACAAATGAATTACTTTATCAATACTTCCTACCAAGAACGGCTGTCAACATATGCGCATTTGATAATAATGTAGAAGGAAGTGACATTTTATGTATTGCACCAAATGGAGCAATATTTCATTTAAGATGGGAAGGCTCAGAAGAATTTAATGATGAGAAAGGATCTACTTCGAGTGAAAAGGGGAGAAACGATGAGAGGATAAGAGAAATATATTTAAAAGATCCAATAATAATTTATCAAAATAATGATAAAAATGATAGATTATTTTGTGCGGCAATCGATTCAAAATATAATCATGGAGTAATTGGATCGTTAGCGACATTTCCGCCAAAAAGCGATTTATTAATTTATAATCCAGATGGCAGTAAAGAAAATGGAATTCGCGGCTTTAATAAGATTAAAGTAAAGAATGTTACGTCATCTGATACATATGATTCTGTATGTAATGTAAATGTCAATATCGAGAATGTAGGTGGTCAAACATCATCATCTGATTCATCTGATTCTGTATTTAATGTATTGGGAATTGATGAAGAAAGGGTTGTGGCTGGCTGTACAAGAGGCTGGATTCGTTGTTTTGAACTTAATATTTGATTAGAAGAAAATTTTTAGTTGAAGAATGTTGATAATTAATATATATACAATATGTCTGATATGAATTGTATTTGTAGAATAGTTGGAAATATACATGTGAACTTTTTAAGTTATATATACAAGTTTCTTCTTTATTTGTTCATTTATATATAAATTAAATTAGTAAAAAATGGTAAATTATAATTATATAATTAGTACGATATTAAAAACGCTTATAATCTCTATCTATTATACTCTATTCCCCCCCCCCCCCCTATTTTTTGAGCTTTTATTAAACATTTACTACGAATACATTCAATAAAGTAGCAAATAAAATAAAAAAAATCACCCTCTTGTTTGGAAGGGATCATATTCCCTGATTTCTGTTTTTAATGTGTAAAGGACATTTTTGGCATGTTCCAAGCCAAAGCTTCCAAAGCCATAGCTTCGAAGCCATGAGACAAATTAGACAAAACGTTCAGACCCGGATGAATAACAAACAACAGTTCTCAGTTATTGATTTTTAATATCGTAAAGAGGAATAGGGGGTATTGCAAATAGAATACCGATCGTTATTATAGTAGCTAAAGTATCCCACATTAGAAAAGTTAAAGCACGTTTTCTATGTGCACTTAGAATTGCAAGTTCTTTAATTTTATGAAATCGAAATAATTTATATTCACTTAAAGGAATAGGGGATGGGAAAAAAAGCAAAATTAGAACCTTTTTTTTAAAAATTTTTTTTTTTAAAAAAATCTCCCAAAAGAAATCATATATACCTTGCACCAAATAAGATTAAGGGCGGAAAAAAACGAGTAGCAGCGGTTTGTAAGAAAATCCAACCTAACCATATAGGAGGAAACCCCCAAAATCTTTTTAACCTGTTTTCTTCGCCTATAAAAATAAGAAATAATTCTAGAGCAAAACCAATTGTTAATGCTAATATGCCCAATGGTAAAGAGGCTATAGCATTTATATGAGTTATATTCATGTCAATAGCAGATTGTATAAATTTCGGAAAATATATTACATTCATGATATGATAAACATAAGATTTTGCTGATGAAAATACAACAGGATTAAATCTTCCTTGCCGTTCAATTAAATCTTGCATAGTTGTACGATTTTCTTCTGGCAATATATTCATGTGACCATATTTTTTATAAATGCTCAGAGAAGACTTTGCTAGATCTTCCTCACCAATCCTTTTTATAATTTCAGGTTGTGTGTAATCTGATGATGAGCGTTCTTCAGAACTTACAGAGATTTCATGATGATCATTATTGCCAATACCACCACCAAATATTATTGATGATGTTTTTGTATGTCTATTTGAATAAGAATGTCGATAATTTGATGAAGATGATTGAATTATGGGATTTGTTGAATCAACCAAAGAATTCGCAATTGAAGGTGCTACAGTATCTTCTGCACTTGAATTACTATCATGATGATCATGAGAAGGTTCCCAATCAGCAATTTCTTCTCGATCACCATCCTCCTCATCCTCCTCATCATCGCCTTCAATTCCTGCATCCCCACCTTCAATGTATTTTCTTCCTGCCCCTCTTCCATTACTTCTATCACTTTCACTTTGTCGTTCAGTCTCATAGCTTACTCTTTCTCTCATATTTTTTACGTAATTTTGATATTCTCGCCAAGATCCAAATAAATTTTCATGGGTAACGACATCTAACCAAAAATTTAAATTTTGTTCTCCATGCCATTCATTTTTCAAATATGCATAAAAATTATATTGCGATAATGGTGAACCTGATTGATTCAATAATACCTTTTCTAATGGAGGAAAAAAGGTTCCATCCGGTATTATTAAATTAAAACTTGGTATTGAATAATCTATTTCTTCGCCACTAGTTTTTTCTTCTTTCTGTGAGGAAGATTCTGAAGTACCTCTTTTACGACGTTTTTGGTGCTGTCCTGAACCAGAGGAATATAATGGAGGTGTTTCATTTCTATTATATTCTTCCATGATAAATTATATATGCATTATTTTTTGTTTCATTTAATATATGGTTAACGTCAGTGTTCGTGAACTGATTATTTAGCAAGAAAATTTAAATAAATATTCAATACTAAAAAGAACTTTAAATTATTTATAGTTTTGTTTATTTTATTTTATTTTTTAAAAAAAAGTAATAAGATGAAAAGATAATAATGGAGTGGGATATAAATTAAAAGAGAAAGGGAACAGAAAAAAAAAAGAGTGTGTATAATTTTAAAGGTGACGAGAGGGGTAAATTGAAAGGGTAGGTGGTAAATAGATTAAAAAAATTAGTTTGAACGACAAATAATTTTAAACTGTTAATTACTTCAAAAGGCTAAATATTTGGCAAATCCATAATTTAGTATTCGTCCAAATCTAATACTTAAATTAAGGGTTTAATATTGACATATCGTTCGCTGTTCATTTGATAATTCAATTTTTTTTTTTTAATAAATAATTAATTTTATGTAAATATTTAAAAAAATTTTTTTATGTATATGTAGTGTATAACAAATTATATGACAAATTTTTTTATTCCGTGATACATTCATCAAAGCGATCGGAATTTGGTTAATCAATCGATTTTCCAGATCTGACAGAAAATAAACTAAGCTTAATATTGCAAAGGAAGTGGCGTTTCAAAACCTAGATGGTATAGTAATAGACTTTCCATCCCGTTAAAACTAAAGAAATGTGAGAGAGTTCTTGAATACCACAAGCCGAAAGAATTGATTCTTTTTCATCTTTTTCATCTGAAGTTCATATGGTTTCACTTGGCCAACAATTACCAAATTGGTGGAACTAAACAAATGAAACATCCGTTAATTAAGGGCAGGCTTTATTATAAAGTTTTATCTTGATAATTGATTAAATTTTCAAGCCTTAACATTTTATCTCTATACATAACTTTTGTTATAAAATTCATAATAAGTAAAATCCGACACAATCTGTCTAGAACTCCAAAAACATAACATATTCAATAGCTTTAGTACCATGTTCCCAAGAAAAAAAGGAAAATTTGAATAATATGTTCTATATGCTAATATTATTAATAGCATAATTCCACTAAACCAGTAAATATCTTAAAACTCTGCATTAAAATACAGGTTTTAGATATTAGATACCATTTATTTTGCATAATAATTCTTGATTAACGTGAAATGATACAATTTAAATAAGCATCAAAGAGTTCACCTATTTTTAAAAAATATTTAATCATCTTATTTGTTAAATAAAACAATAAATTTAAATAACAACTTACTGAAAATAAACAAATAAACAAATAAACAAATAAGCCCAATTTTTCTGATCATCTTGATATTATATCAAAACAGCTTAACTAAAAAAATCTAAAAACAGCTTCAGCATCTTGTTTATTAACATCTCTCATAAATAAATAATACTGAATTGGATTCTTTAGCAAGAAAAAGAATTTAATCATATCTAACAGTATTATTACTAAAATTTAATAATCTTATCCTATTATAAATATTATTCCTTTCATTCTTTTTAGCATGTTTAGAATCTTGTATTTTAATAATCGATCTATTATTATAAATTGGGACTAAATATTTAATACTATAAATTGTTTTTGATTTTGCAAAAATTCTGTTACTTTAGATCTGTTTATTAAGAAACTTACTTACCATAATAAAATAACTTAGACAGAAATGTGTAAAGATAATTATTTTTTAGTGATAACATGTAAAATTAATATATTCACAAGAATTAGAATATATGATTAGATTTTAAAAATACTTGTATTACTATATATAATGATACCTATTAAAATTATTAAAAATATTAGAGAAAAATTTTTATTATATCACAAGTACAATATATTTTATTAAAGTTAATTAAAAATATTATACTTTTAGTTTAATAAATTATTTATTTATCAAATTTTATTTATAGATTCTGATTACAAAAATTTCTTTTATAATTATTTTTTTATTTTTAATAAAAGGAAATAAAACTTTTAGTGAAATATATAATATATTAAATAATTTAATACATATAACTATTTAAGCTGATTTAAAATTTATTAACATTATATCAAATAGTGATTCATTAGATTTTACAACCTTAGAAAATCTCTAATTTCTTGGAATTACTTTATTTAACTTTATAAATTTAAAAGTTTAAAAACTAGAGAAATTTAGAGAATTTATTTATTTTAAGTGACAAATTCAATAATAAGTTAGTGTAATAGTTTACAATCAAATTCTAAATAATAGATACATAGAAAAAAATAATTATATTTTAAAGTTGATTCTTTTATTTATTACTTGAAACACATAAGAGAGTTATTAAGCTTATAAGAGAGTTTTAAAACTTACAAAAAAGTTAATTTACAACTTGAACAAAAAGCTATTTTATTTATACAAAATTAATTTATTATAGTTAACTAGTTATTTTGCTATAAATTAACTAAATTTGTAATTACAAGTATTAATATATGAGATATAACAATAATGCAAGTAGACAAAATAAAAATAATGTAACAATTTGGTTTTATTTATATTTGATAATTTGTGATTATTATGAAAGTATTGAATTGAACTTTATGGTTTCTAAACATATTAAATTCAAATGTGATAGTAATTTTGGATTGATTAAAAAACTATATAGAAGAACAAGAGTAGATTGTTTAGATCATATGGTTGAAGTAATAAAAAAATCTAGTCCAGCAGGATTAAATAAAGCTTAGTGTTATGAAGGTAGAAAAGGTTTTCAATACTTAGATATTAAAGCTATTTTGGGAATTTATTTTAAGAAATTATCAAGTATACAGAAATATCAATATTTTTATTTTGAAGTATCTAATTTTGATACAGTGAAAGTTCAAGAATTTGCTAATGAATCTTTTGCTGAATTCAATTTATTGAAAACCAAAGAAGCAGATATTTTGAAGAGATTAAAGCTTTATCTATTTTAGTGTTAACATTATTTCCTTTGGATTACAAAAGGCATGGATATCTTTATCATAATATTCGCCTATTTGTGAAAAATAAATACAAGATATTATTTGTCCAAGGCTAAGATTGCTTATCTAAACTCATTTTGGATTTGGCAAAATGGTAAAACTTTTAGTTTCGCTAAATTTTTACTAAGTGTTTGATATAGTTTCGCCATTTTTATAAGCTTTGATATAGTTTTACCTTTTTTCAAATTTCGCAGATTTTTCAATAAGGTTTTAATATAATTTAACCAAATTTTACTTTTACCATTTAGACGTCTGTCTAAACTCTTGATTTCGTCCAGCAACCTTATCCAAGACTATTCTATACTGGCAACAAATTAAATATTTAGAACAAAAACACCTTCATTACTTTATCACACTTGTTAATTTGTCTCCTTACTGTTATTAAATTTAATAAGTTTAATCATTTGACAAATATTATTAGCTTTTTCTGCCTTTAAAGTAAAAAGTATTAAAATAAAATTTATATACTTAATATATTATCATAAAAAGAATATAAGTATAATATATTAAAAGAATAAATAAAAAAAGAATAAACAAGAAAATCATGATAAATATCATAAATGAACAATAAAAAGAAAATAAAGAACTATTAAATGAAATAAAAACACTAAAAAGCAATTAGAAAACAAAGAAGATGATTTTAAACTAAGAATTTGAAATGTAATTAACCATGTTAAGGAAAATGAGAGATCAGAAATTGCTAGCACTTTAATGACTTTAGAACAACACTTTTTACCTAAGCATGAATTCACTCTTGAAGAATTTGTTAAGAGTTATGCTGAATGAACATTATTTAATTGTGATTCTTATAGTCATGTTTATAAAAAAAATGAGAAATTAGAAGAAAAAAAGAAAAAAAAAGTTGCTGAATTAAATCCTTTTAAAGAACAGGTTGAAATTTAAAAGAAAATATGGCTAAAACTCTCAATACTTACCTTAAAGAAGAGTAACAAGAAGAAAAAATGATTGAGATTATTAGCATAAAGAAGATTTAAAAGAGTTAATAAATGAAAATTAAGATAAACCAGTTGAAGTTGCTATTGAAATTATTGAAAAATGGGAAAAAGATGCTAAAGACTTTGCTGAAACATTAGATATAACTGAAAAATGAAAAAATTGACAAAAAGGTTTTTTGAATGATGAAATCAAAGAAAAATCACTAATGCTTCAAAAGTCTTATAAAATGCTTGAAGAAGAAATAATAAAGAATGCAAATTTGCAAGAAGAATTAGCCTAAAAATTGGAAATGTTAAGAAAGAATGATCAGAGATTTGAGGATGAAGCAAAAGAAAGAGAAGAATTAAAAACACAATTATATTTGGAAAGAAAACCTTTACCCTCTCTTTCTAAAGAAGTAGAAAGTAGGACTTTAAATAAACAAAGTATTTTCAAGCAATTAAAAACAAAACAAAAGCCAAAGTTCAGCAATTACAGAAATTAATTAAAAGAGAGAAGTTTTACAGTTAAGCAATTGTTACTAAAATAGAAGTTCTAGTTAAGTAGTCATGAGAGAACTGTTTTATATAATCTTAGATTTAGAAGAATGATACAGCAGTAATTTTACTTATGTTTTCTGCCTTGGTATGAAAAAAGCAGTTTATTAAATCAGAATGTGAAGCAAAGCGACTGGTAAAATGGTTGAAAGTAATAAGGCTTGTGAAAACTGTAAAGAGAAGTTTGAAAATGATAAATTGCCTAAGTATGATTGTGGAAGATTAAAGACTAGATATACTTGTAATTGCAAAGAAAAGGAAAATGAAAAAAAACTTCCTCTTTTATCTCATCAAAATGGAGAAATAGCACTTTTTTATGAACAGCAAATAAATGGCTTACAAGAAAAGGAAAGATAATTAGAAAAGGAAGTAGATACACACTTAAAAGCCTTAGAAGTGGTTGAAGATTGACACAAAAAACAGAAACAGGAACTATTAGATTGAATTAAGCAACTAGAAGAAGAAAACAAATAACTAAAAGAATTAATTCTACAAGAATTATTAAA